CCTGTACCTCACACTGGGCCCCTCCCCCAGGAGGTGTGCCCTGTACCCTCACACTGGGCCAGTTAGGCAAGAGCCCATCGACCCCCACCACTTCCTTCTCCTCCCTCTTGAATTTAATTGTGTAATTCTCTTGTATAAACATGTATTTGTTCATCTACCTGTTTTGAACTGAGTACACTGGATACTTGCTTTTCCATTCTTGTGATATTTTATTAAGGAGAAAGTTCTCCACCTCCATCCAAGTTAATATGAAAGCTGTAAAGTCTCCATTTTCCATGGCTGAATAGTACTCCATGGTACACACATGCCACAGTTTGTTAATCCATTCCTGTGTTGATGGGCACCTGGGTTGATTCCACCTATGGGGGAGATTGTGATTTGAACTAGGAGAAACATTCTAGTGCAAATGTCCTTATGGTAAAATAATTTTTTTTCTTCTGGGTAGACTGTGGCATCAAGTGGAAAGTCTACTTTTAGTTCTTTGAGGATTCTCCATACTTCTTTCCAAGGAGGCTGTATTAGTTTGCAGTCCCACCAGCAGTGTAAAAAGTTTCCTTTTTCCACACCCTCACCAGCATCTAAAGCTTTGGGACTTTATAATGTGGGCTATTTTCATTCGGTTTTGGTTATATCTCAAGGTAGTTTGGGTTCACCTTCAGATATTATGGAATTTTTTCCTGTGTTTGTTGGCCATTCATCTGTCTTCTTCAGGGAAGATTCTGTTCCTATCTCTTGGAACAGAAGAGATATGATTGTTTGCTCTTTTTTTACTGAATTCTCTGTAGATTCTTGTTATCTACCCTTTGTCCAACTCATAACACATAAATATCTCTTCCAATTCTGAAGACTGTCTGTTTGCTTTAATTGTTGTGTCCTCAGCTGTGCAGAAGCTTTTAAACTTAATTAAGGTCCATTTATTTATTTTTGTTGTTGTCAATTGCCAATGAAGTCATCTTCATAAAGTCTTTCTCCAAGCCAATATCATCAAGAATTTTTCCCACACTTTCTTCTAGGGTTTTTATCATTTTGTGTCTTAGATTTCAGTCTTTTATCCTTCTTGAATCTATTTTTGTAAGTGGTAAAAGATGTGGGTCTAGTTTCAGTCTCTAACACGTGGCAAACCATTTCTCTCAGCACCATTTGTTGAATAGAGATTCTCTTGCCTAGTGTAAACTTTTTTTTTTCTTGAGATAAGAGCCTCAAGCTGTCACCGTAGGTAGAGTGCTGTGGGATCACAGCTCACAGCAACCTCCAACTCTTGGGCTCAAGCGATCCTCTTGCCTCAGTTTTCCTATTTTTAGTAGAGACGGGGTCTCACTTTTTGCTCAGGCTGGTCTTGAACTTGTGAACTCAAGCAATCCACCCACCTCAGTCTCCCAGAATGCAAGGATTGCAGGTGCAAGCCACTGCCCCTGGCCCCTAGTATTTGCTTTCGTTTGGTTTATCAAAGGTCAGATGGGGCTCGGTGCCTGTGGCTCAAGCGGCTAAGGCGCCAGCCACATACACCTAAGGTGGTGGGTTCGAATCCCCAGCCTGGGCCCGCCAAACAACAATGATGGCTGCAACCAAAAAATGGCCAGGCGTTGTGGCGGGCGCCTGTAGTCCCAGCTACTTGGGAGGCTGAGGCAGGAGACTCGCTTGAGCCCAGGAGCTGGAGGTCGCTGTGAGCGTGATGCCATGGCACTCTACCCAGGGGGATAGCTTGAGGCTCTGTCTTAAAAAAAAAAAAAAAAAAAAAAAAGGTCAGATGGTGGGATGAGGCTGGTCTTAGTTTTCATTTCATGTCTTAGTTTTCTATTCTGTTTCATATGTCTATGTTTCTATTTTTGTGCTAATACCATGCTGTTTTGATCACTGTGGACTTATAATATAACCTGAATTCTGGTAGAGTGATGCCTCCGGCTTTGTCTTTACTACTAAGAATTCCCTTGGCTATACAGGTTTTTCTCAAGTTTCATACAAAACAGAGAACTATTTTTTCCAGTTCTTTAAAGTAAGATGTTGATATTGTGATAGGGGTTGCACTGGATCTGCAGATTGCATTGGGAAGTACAGACACTTTAACAATGTTGTTTCTTCCCAGCCCAGAGCATGGTATGTTCTTCCATTTGTTAATGTCTTCTGCTACTTCTTTTCTCGGAGTTCCATAATTCCCACTGTAGAGATCTTTCACCTCCTTTGTTAGATATATTCCCAGGTATTTCATTTTCTTTGAAGCTGCTGTGAAAGGGTATTGTGTCCTTGGTTTGCTTCTCAGCTTGATTGTTATTAGCATACATGAAGGATACTAGTTTGCAGACATTGACTTTATACCCCATGATGTTAATGTATTTCTTGATCATTTCTAGAAGTCTTGTGGTTGAGTCCCTGGGGTTCACTACATATAAGATCATATCACCAGCAGAGTGAGGGTTTGACCTCCTCTGCCCCAATCTATATGCCCTTAATATCCCTCCTTTGCCTGATTGCATCAGCAAGTAGAACTTCATTCGCACCATCTTGAATAGCAGTGGCAATAGAAGAAATCCCTGTCTGCTCCAGTTCTAAGTGGAAAGGCTTTCAGTTTTACTCCATTCAGTATAATGTTGGCTATGAGTCTGTTGTGGATGGCTTCTGTCAGTTTAAGAAATGTCCCTTCTATGCCCATTTTCTTAAGTGTTCTTATCAGAAACAGATGCTGAATTTTGTCAAATGCTTTTTCTGCATCTATCAAGAGGATCATACGGTCTTTGTTTTTGCTTCTATTTATGTGGTGAATTACATTTATGGATTTGCATATGTTAAACCAACCTTGCATCCCTGGGATAAAGCCTGCTTCACTGTGGTGTGTAATTTTTTTAATGTGTAGCTATACTCTATTTGCTAGGATTTTACTGAGTATTTTTGCATCAATATTCATTAGTGAAACTGGTCTGCAGTTTTTTTTGCATCCTTTACTGATTTTGGTATCAGGGTGATGTTTGCTTCATAGAACATATTGGGTAGGATTCCTTCTTTCTCAATGTTTTGGAATAGTTTCTGCAGTATGGGTACAAGCTCTTCTTCGAAGGTTTGATAGAATTCCGGTGTGAAGCCATCTGGTCTAGAGCTTTACTTTGTTGGGAGCTTTTTTATTGTTACTACAATTTCAGGTGCCTGATATTTCTTCCTGGTTTACTTGAGGGAGATGGTGTGATTCCCAGGTATTGGTTCCTTTCCTCTGGGCATAGAGATTTTTGTAGTAATCAGGGATGATCTTTTGTATTTCTGTGGTATCTATTGTCATTTCCCCTTTAAGGTTTTTTTTAAACTTTCAAGCAAGAATTTTGTTGTTCTTACTGTAATTGTAGCTCCCTCAGACTTCTTGAAAATAAGACTTTCCTCTAACTCTACACTAATGTCTCCTCAATGGAGCCACCTGCTCTGGACTCTGTTCCTCCTGCCAGGTTCCTGGTCACCCTGAAGCATATGAGCTACTGCTCTGCCTCCCTGGATATGTGTGTTCTCCCCGCTCAGGCCTACTTGCAGGGCATTAAACAAATCTGCAGTACGTAGATCACACTTCTTGTCCCTGCTCTTGGGGACTACAAACAAATAAGCACACAAAACCGGGACCCTCAGTAAAGTAACTGCTCTCTGATCTCTACAAGCAGGAGTGCATTACCAAGTACAAAGTCCCTGAGCAACTCAGCCTGCTGGGAAAGTCCCCATTTGGGGCTAACCAGGCCAAGCAGGGGATTGCATAACCATCCCTACACAAGAAGAGGTCATTTCCAAGGCCCTAGGGAGAGATGGTCTTCTCTTCCAGAGACCCTATCACAGTTCAACAACCAGCCAGAAATCCTGAGCTACTGATATACTTCCCTCCCCTGAGATGCCAGAGGGCACTTGGCAGCCGCATCATGGGTCCTTTCCCATGGGCCACCTGCACATTTCCTAAGAGCCTTCTAAGTACGGGGACAGGCAAAGGCAAGGGTTCATACTCAGGTTAGTCGCGAAGGAGTGAGTGTGTGGGGGAACCACGAGTGTACACAACAGCCATCTCAGAAGACTCCCCTGCCCACCCCGAGATCGCCTCATCAAGGCAACTGCAACAGCACACAGTAGGCACTTCTAACTCACGGCTTCCTCTGAATCCTCGGCATCACAGAGTGGGCCAATAAAACTGACTCCCTATAACCAACAACCTGTAAGAACCAATGACTCTAACAATCGGTCACTTTAACTATATGTTAGTATGTTTTGTTATGTAAGTATTAAAAGATAGAAAGACGATGAACAGCATACCTGGATGATCTTAGGCAATACATCAACTCCATTTTTAGTGTTTTGTGATGTAGTCAGATACTTTTTCTCCGAAAAGAATGTTACAATCCACTTAATAAAAACCACACGAGCTGCCATGTAAGGAATTTTTGTGCTGTAAATGTTTTCATTGTCTCGGATTGTAGTAACATACACTGGCTTTGGTCTCAAATGGGGGATGTCTAGTAGAAAAGAGAACAAGTGATGGATTAGGTCAGTGAATCCAACATTAAATGACCCCTATAAATGTTTCTGTTTCCAATTAAATAAACATGTATTTAGTGTTTGCAGAGCAACTAAGAATGAAGAACCATAAATTACCAAAAACAGTATCTTCTGTTATACCGTTTCTGATTCTGCCTTGCAACCTGACCAAGAAGAGGTGGTGGCTGCTACTGCTTACATACGGCTATGGTGTACAGCTACAGAAAGCAAGCTAAGTCCTTGTAACAATTTTGGGAAATTACATGAGAATATAATAGCAAAAATCTTTTCACATCTATTATACCTAATTTAATCTTATTTTGTAGCTAGAACAAATGTAAAAGCATATTTGAACATTTTAAAAATCATTTCAGATGTTTTAGTATTCAATACTGTACTGATTAATCCACTGAACTTTAATTTCATGCCCTTTTTTTCCCTTTAGATAAATCCAAGGAAACCAGAATCAACACAATCTACTTTAGGGTGAAAAGAATTCAGAAAGGCACATTTGGTCTTTTAGTTATAAAATGCAACCTTTTCCAAAGAATTAAAAAGAGCCCATTTTCATTCATTAAATTCCATAATCAATATGAAAATTGTATTATATTGGATTAGAGATACTACTTGCCATAAATCCCACTCTCTACCTCAATTTTTATATATCTGGAATACCTGCATGAGGCGGAAAAAATCTCAACAAATAACTTGTAATCTAGGAATGTTAAAAACACACAATGTTTTTATAATGAATACAGACTATGTACAAAGTCATGAACAAATTTTAGAAAGACACGGGGGGGTGGGGAGGAGCATTCACAGACAAATGAATTAGTTGGTTATGGTCCCCAGATAATGTGCCTTGTGACCTTTCCCCTCCAGCACTGTTCTTGATTATTTATTTGAACTAATTTCATCTGTTTCAAATAACAGACGGAAAAAGATCTGCCCCCCAGCACCACTGTAAGGAATGCTTCTGTCCTGTAAGTCCTCATTTCTTACAGAAGTAAACCTTCAGAGGTACATTAGAAATTCCTTATGCTTCCCAGCCCTCTGAGGCTTACTGTCCATAGCCTGTCCAATCTGCCTTCCATAAGCAATTGTCAGTGTATCTGCTGGATTCAATGTCCAGCATAAAAGAAAGCACATGCTGTGGGCAGCTGTGTCCTGGGCCAGGCTGCCTCATCACTGAGCAAGACATAGGGTCACAACACCCACCACCCCTGAGTGAAGACTTTGGGAAATGCAGGCTTTTTACATTAAAAATGTTAAATAGAATTTCACCAAAGCATCACAATACATTTCAAATTAGTTCTGCGTATAGGGGCCACAATTCCCTCTTATTAGTGTGAGTTGTGATACAACTTGGTTAGTACAAATAAATAAAATCTCTTATTAGGAAACTTTAAACCTCTTTCAATAAAGCTACCATTCAGTACAAGAATAGAATAATTATTTTTTCTTTAAAATAATCAAAGGCTACTTTGAAAGACACTGCACAGCTTTCCTGAGGATGTCCTCTATACATGGCTCAAACAGTACTTACCAAGCACAGGTTTGTAGATGTTTGTTAACTTAGTAAATGATGGAAATAAATGAGGAAGATAATATTTTCGAAATAATGTAAAAAGAAATTTAAAACCAGTATCTTGATTCTCCTTATTCTTCCACTCCAAGCTTGCAGCCTTTGGATTATATGTGGAAAAGAACATAATGTATATTTACATTTCAAATTAATATATACTAAACTGAAATGATGTATATAAAATTTCTATCCTAAATTTAAAAAGATGACAACTAATATTGACAATCATGTAATATCTTAACAAAGCTCAAAAGATGACAAGAATGAATACTTAAAAACAAAATAGTAACTTAAAAATAGTATGTTTACTGAGTATGTTTTTAAAATCACCCAACGGCAAATCTTTTCAAACTTGCTCTACTGTATCATGGACACATTTTTTTTCCACATGTCCTCTGTAATGATCTATCATTCCTTTTATTTTTTAATCTAAATTCAACAAAAGAGCATTTATAGTAAACAGGAGTTAAATAATCCCTTTCAAGGATTTTATCCAGTGCTACCTACATGCAAAATCAGTATCAAAAGGCAGAAGAAACCCTGGACTGTGTCGTCTCCTTATTAAAAATGATTCACATGCTTAGATAACCAGGCCGGCCAGTCCAGCTCAGGACTGTGTTTAAAGCTTTCATGGTATTGAAATAATATTCTCCCCCTCAAAACCCTCACAGCGTCTGCATAGGGGAAGACTCCTAAACAGCTGGGCTCCATCCACCTCAATAGCCAGGAACACCTCACAGGAGCTGGGACAGCCTGGTTATCCCCCATATCTCCTAGGGAAACACTGTACAGAGACTTTAAGGAAGACCTGTCGGGTTCTTACAACTTACTAGACCGCAGAGCACTCTGCAGCAGAGCTTGCCAACTCTCTCATGACACGCCCACTTAGAAAATGATGTTTACTCAGCACCTCAGGAGAAAGGATGAGGTGCTCTGGCTGCCCTGAGGGCAGAAGGGCTCAGCATCCCTGACCTGTAAGAAGCTCTGCTCTGAGGGCTCATCCCAACAGACAGAGGGAAGCGGGGCAGGGACACACACAAATCTGTGCCCAGTCAGGGCCTTCGCAGTCTGCATACACACTTCTACCCTGTGTCACCATCATCTCCCTCTAACAGGAGTCCCTGAAGAATATACAGAGGGGACTAGAGGTCACACAACTCATTAGTGACACATCTAGAATGAACCCAGAGCCCTCAACACATGCAAGTTCTAAACTCTTGGCTGATTTCCCAAGACAAACAGAATGTCCAAGTACATCTGAGCAGGTGGCCTTTGAGATACCTACAGAATGGACAATTCAGTACAGTGAGGAGCATCCAACAGGAGGCCTGCCCGAGTTGGGCTTTCAGGATTTTCAAATCCTTGTGTTTCTGAGGTGGCTACAGGAAACGGAGGGAAAGGAGACAAAATGGCCCACCAAGACCGAGTAGTCAGGAAGGACAGACACAGGCTCAATCCGGCAGGACAGCAGAGAAAAAGCACAGTTCCCTAAGGAAAACTAGAAAGAAGTGAAAGAAAGGGAGAAAAGCCAGAAGAAAACATCATGAGACGAGAACCCTCAGGAAGGAGGGGTGTCACTGTCAAAAACCCCAAAGAATGAGGAGAGCACAAACTGAAGAGCGCCAGCCCCCCGCTGCAGTCCGGGACCCGCCACTTCAGCAGTGGCGGTGCACAAGGCAGGGAACCATGGGCGTCAAAGGAGCATGAAGTGAGGAAGCTACTTGGCAGAGATTATCACTTCAACAACTTGGTTACGAAGGGAAAGAGAGAGACTGGACAATACCCAGGAGGAACTCAGGGACAAAGGAAATGTTCACTGAGAAAAAAGAACCAGGTTCTTTCCAAGTCTTGAAAATAGGACATTGGTATTTTAATAGGGATGACATTGAATTGGTAGATTGCTCTGGGAAGTATAGACATTTTAACATGAGCATGGTATGTTCTTCCATTTGTTAAAGTCCTCTGCTATTTCATTTCTTAGGGTTTTATAATTATCTTTATAGAGTTCCTTCACCTCTTTTGTTAAGTTTATTCCTAGGTATCTCATTTTCTTTGGGGCTATGGTGAAGGGAGTTGTGTCCTTAATTAACCTCTCATCTTGGCTGTTATTGGCGTATACAAAGGCTTGTGGACATTGATTTTATATCCTGAGACATTACTGTATTTTTTGACGATTTGTAGGAGTCTTGTGGTTGAGTCTTTGGGATTCTCTTAAGTATAAGATCCTATCGTCAGCAAAGAGGGAGAGTTTGATCTCCTCTGTTCTCATTTGGATGCCCTTTATTTTTTTGTCTTGTCTAATTATATTGGGTAGAACTTCCAGCACTATGTTGAATAGTAATGGTGACAGAGGACAACCTTGTCTGGTTCCAGTTCTAAGAGGAAAAGCTTTCAGTTTAACTCCATTCAGTAAAATATTAGCTGTGGGTTTGTCATAGACAGCTTCAATCAGTTTAAGAAACATGCCACTGGCTCGGTGCCTGTGGCTCAAGCGGCTAAGGCGCCAGCCATATACACCTAAGGTGGCGGGTTCGAATCCAGCCTGGACCAGCCAAACAACAATAATGGCTGCAACCAAAAAATAGCCGAGCGTTGTGGCGGGTGCCTGTGGTCCCAGCTACTTGGGAGGCGGAGGCAGGAGA